GTTATCAGAATTTGATGCAATTTTTTAAATTCAATTTGGAAATAGAGAAATAAATAAAAACTGAAAATATAAAGTTAGAAAAAAGTGGGGAAAAAAGGATTCTAAAGAAAAAAGCAAAGTTTAAGACAAAACGCAAGTTCTAAATTGCATTTTCTAAATTTCCATATTGCTTGCAACAAGAATGAAACTAAATTCCCTTCATATAAAAGGGTTCAATTGGTGCATACCAGAGCATGAACTGGTCATGCTGAGATCTCTGCTGGGAGAGCAGCTCTAGCTTCTCATTATTCCACCTCTCCAGGCTGCAGGTTCTCAGGACACGTTTTGTACTTCGCTGCCTCCAGCTCAGTGTTCAAACATCTGAAGATGTTTGACAGCCGGCTGCAGATATTAACAAGATGTCAAAGCCGCGTGAATTCCTCACTGTCTGGCTCTAGTTTGAGTTCACGTGGTTTGGAATGTTAGAATCTGGAGTTATATAACCGGGCCTGTTCAGCGGGTTCTCACTCTATTATTAATAGTTCTGGATTTACTTAATGCTGCGGATGGATGGAGGGACAGACGGACAGACGATTATCAGGGTTAATGAAACTGGTTGCTGTCCTGGAGCCCGCTATGGGGCAGCTGCTTCGGCTGAGGAGAGGTGGAACTGGGCTGTAATGTGGTTGGAGGGGCGCAGTCCAGTTCAACTCAGTGACGTATGATCTGGTGATGGGGTGTTTCTTCTTCTTCGCTCCTTCGTTGTTAAACTCAGGAAGTGTGAAGCACATGTATAAATATAGCAGTGCTCAGAGAAAACACCTCTGGATGAGGTGGTGTTATTAATCAGGGTGAGCATCTTACAGATGATTCATGTCAGCAAACATTCTGCAACTAAATTGTTCTGCTACTTTTCTTTGCAGAGAGACAGCTTAGGGTGCTTAAATACAAAAAAATAAGTTGAAAAGTAGTATCTGAAGGTGCAACACTAGTTCTGCAGCTTACTGACTTCTACAAGTGAGGTTTCTTCCTGTTTGCAGCCTCAAATTAAAACATCAGCACTCTGGTCAGAGGCTGCAGGCCAGAGGTGTTTGGTTCTGACTTTTTTTTAGGTTTTTGTTGGAGAAGACGAGGAAGCAGTTTCTTCTTACCTTGGTGGAGGTTTAAGTGGCACAGCAGCCTGCTCCATATTCAGCTCTGTGTCTTCTGGTCTATTTGAGTCCTTCTGGACTCAAATAGACCAGAAGGAGCCCCACATTGTCTTCTGTTTACATCCTGAGAGGGTCCAGGAGGGGCTCGGTCCATGTGTCACCCTAACATCAGGGGAACCACCTGTCTGGTTACAGATCAGTCAGAGACGGAGGCGGTTTAAACCTCCGACCACTGGGGAAGCTACCCTTAGGACTGGAAGTTGGTTGCATTGTTTTACGATATCTTTCTTTTCTTGAAATAACTTTTTTATCAGTTTTTTTCATCCACCTGACTTAATGGGAAAGATGTGGGTTTATGTTTTCACTTGTTTTCCTTTTAAAGTTTACATAGACACAAACATTTGAACTTAACATGTTAATTTTTACCCCCAGCATTTTCCAAGGTGAAACATAGTAGTGGCAGCATCATGCTGTGATACATAGTAGCTCGTAAGAGCTGATGGTAAGATAGATGAAGCAAGGTTAACCTTTCAGAGGGTAAACCACTCTAGACATCCGGCCAGAGATACAAAGGATTGTTTAGATCAAAACAGAGTAACGTGTTAAAGTGGCCTAGTCAAAGTTCAGGCCTAAAATATGACTAAGAATCTCTTTGCTACACTTGAAAATGTTGACTCAGGATGAGCAGTTATGGAGTTAGAATCCTAGAATATCTCTGGACTATATATATCTATATAGACTG